TACATATACAGTAAGGTATAGTATGAACATCGAGTAACCGAGAAGTGTACATAGTTTAAACATATACATGAACACAGGGAAAATACATACTGTACACTAGTAAACAAAACATGTGTTATAAATGAAATAAAGTTTACAACATTTTTTATAAATTTTCAACTTCAGGGCAAATTGTTTGCATTATCAAGAGCTCACAACTCAAATGTTCGTATGTAGGGGAGTCACTGTAGTTGACTGTATATCAATACCAGCTGGTAGTAGTCCACCACATTTAGCATATTCCTTGTTTTGTGAGCAACGTCATCAAACCTTAAATATTAATGTATTCCATACGCTTTGTGTTAGTGGACACTCCAGTGTGCGGTAAATGGATAAAACTTTGTTACTGTATCAATACTTAACACTCCTTAATTGTAAAGACTGTCAATATAATTTATTGTCTCCATGTCAATGGAGAGAGAGAGAGAGAGAGAAGAGAGAGAGAGGAGAAGAGAGAAGAAGAGAGAGAGAGAAGAGATGAGAGAAGAGATGGAAGAGAGAAAGGAGGAGGGTGAGGGGAGAGAGGGAGAGGAGGCGAACGAGAGAGAAGAACCGAGAGAAATAGAGAGAGAGAGAGCGAGAGAGAAAAATGAGTGGATGAAAAGAGAAAGATAAATGAGAGTAGAGAGAAAGAAGTAGAGACAATGAGAGAGTGAGAAATCGAGAGAGAGGAAATGAGAGAGGATCAAATGAGAGAGAGGAAATATGAGAGAGAGAAATGAGAGAGAGAGAAAATGAGGAGAGAGAAAATGAAGAGAGAGAAAATGAGAGAACTGAAAAATGAGAGAGAGAGAAAATGATGAGAGAGAGAAATAGAGAGAAGAAATGAGAGAGAAATCAATGAGAGAGAGAGAAAATGAGATAGAGAGAAATGACTGAGATGAGAGAAAATGAGAGGAGAGAAAATGAGTGAGAGAGAAAATGATGAGAGAGAGAAATGAGAGAGTGAGAAAATCTGAGAGAGAGAAAAGAGAGAGAAGTAAAATGAGAGAGAGAGAAATGATGAGTAGAGAGAAAATGAGAGAGAGGAAAATGAGAGAGAGAGAAATGAGACGAGATGAGAATCTGATGAGAGAGAGAAATGAGAGAGAGTGAAATGGGGAGAGGGAGAGAAATGAGAGAGAGAGAAAATGAGAGAGAGAGAAATGAGAGAGAGAGAAAATGAGAGAGAGAAAAATGCGAGAGAGAAAATGCAGAGAGAAAATGAGAGAGAAAATGAGAGAGAGAGAAAAATGAGAGAGAGAGAAATGAGAGAGAGAAGAGAGAGAAATGAGAGAGAATGAGAAGAAATGAAGAGAAAATGAGAGAAAATGAGAGAGAAAATGAGAGAGAAAGAAGAGAGAGAGAGAAATGAGAGAAAATGAGAGAGAAAATGAGAAAAAGAGAGAGAAAATGAGAGAGAAAATGAGAGAGAAAATGAGAGAGAAAAATGAGAGAGAATGAGAGAGAATGAGAGAGAAAATGAGAGAGAAAATGAGAGAGAAAATGAGAGAGAAAATGAGAGAGAAAATGAGAGAGAAAATGAGAGAAAATGAGAGAGAGAGAGAAAAATGAGAGAGAGAGAAAAATGGAGAGAGAAATGAGAAAATGAAGAGAGAAATGAGAGAGAGAAATGAGAGAGAGAGAAATGAGAGAGAGAGAAAATGAGAGAGAGAGAAAATGATGAGAGAGAGAAAATGAGAGAGAGAAAAATGAGAGAGAAAGATGAGGAAAAATGAAGAAATGAGAGAGAGAGAAAATGAGAGAAAATGAGAGAGAGAGAAAATGAGAGAAAATGAGAGAGAGAGAGAATGAGAGAATGTTGACAACCAAGTGAAAGCCTTCACTGGACATATACTTAATCTACAACAAGAACACTTTCCTCACCGGCAATATGTGACGAAGCCTTCGGATCAGCCTTGGTTTGGCTTTCATTGTAGAGAGGCTGCTACTGCTAAGTACAAAGCATGGCGAAGGTATGAGAGACATTCTACCACCTATAACAGGAACTTGCACAGGCAAGCCTGTAGACATATGGGTGACATTCAAAAGTGGGCCATTGCTAAATGGGAGGTGGACACTAAAAGAAAGCTAGCATCAGGTAGGGTAGGCTCCAAAACCTGGTGGTCCCTGGTCAAGGACAGACAAGGTTATCTGCCTGATGAACTCATTCCACCTCTAAATCGACAGGATGGGACCACCTCTACTAGTAGTCAAGAGAAGGCGGACCTCTTTGCTGAACACTTTGCTACCAAAATGCAAGTTCCTGATCCAGCAAGGGACCCTCCTTGGCTAGCTGCAAGAACTGTGTCAAAACTGTCAGTGGTGACAATAAGGCAGGAGGAGGTGCATTTCCTTCTTAAATCGCTTGACCAAGAAAAGGCTGTGGGCCCAGACAAGTTGAGCCCAAGATTGCTGAGAAGATGTGCAGACCAGCTAGCAGCACCTCTAACTCGCATCTTTCAGCACTGCCTAGTACAGTGTAAATGGCCCTCTCTGTGGAAAGAGGCAAATGTAGTCCCTATTCACAAAAAGAAGAGCAGAGCAGAAATCAGCAACTACAGACCAATGTCACTCCTGTCAATCACTGGTAAGATCCTTGAGACAATAATCTCAAGACAAATGACAGAGTTTTTTGACTACCACTCACTACTTTGTGATCGTCAATATGGCTTCAGGAAAGGTTACTCTGCTGCTAATCTGTTGTTAAACCTCTCCACTAAGTGGCACCAGTCACTGGATGAATCCAAAGTCAGCTGTGTGGTAGCACTGGACATTGCTGGCGCTTTCGACCGGGTGTGGCACCAGGGCCTCTTAGCAAAACTTCAAGCACTGGGAATTGCAGGCTCTACGCTATGTCTCCTCAGTGATTACCTTCATGGTAGATCTCTAAGTGTAGTTCTCAATGGAACGGAATCAGCAAGACATCCTATTGGGGCAAGTGTTCCACAAGGAAGTGTGCTGGGACCATTGTTATGGAATGTCTACTTCAACGACCTTCATCTCATCCCAGAATCCCATGCATATGCAGATGACTGTACACTGACATTCACTTATCCAAGAGAAGAAATGCCAGCTGCTCTAAGCTACATCAATCACCAGCTAAGAGCTATATCAGCTTGGGGAAATAGATGGCAAGTAACATTTGCACCTGAGAAAATGCAAATGATGATGGTCTCTGGGCACCATGATGGTAATGCTGGTGCAGTAGTAAGGATGAATGGGAATTTGTTGGCGCCTGGAGAAGTTGATATCCTTGGGGTGAAATTTGACTCCAAACTAACCATGAAGAACCATGTTGTAAATCTCGCAAACAAGGTAGCCAGGAAGCTTACAGCACTTCGCCATATCTCACATCTGCTTGACAGGGGTTGCAAGATTTTGTACGAGGCACAAGTACGCTCGCACCTTGAGTATGCTCCACTTTCTTGGTTTGCCTGCCCCCCCTCTCATCTGCGACTGCTTGACAGAGTAGAGAACAGAGCAAGACGTCTCATCTCTCGCTTGGACCCATCCTGGATAGATCTATCATTTCAGCAGAGCCTTCAACGCAGGAGGGATGTGGGTGGCCTTACTGTTATGTACAAGGCCAATATTGTCAAAGTGCCACACTTGGATCCACTTTGAGGACAGCGTGAAACAAGCTTTTATGCCACAAGACGGGCAGAAAGCAGCAACTTCACTCTGGCTATACCCTTCTCCAGAACATCACTCCATCTGAGATCATATATACCTAGGATGACTTGAGTATGGAACACATTCGTACAGCATAATGATGTCAACGACAAAGTCAGTTGATCAAATGAAAATGCTGGCCCACAGATGGCTCCAATTTCATCCTGTTCCCTACTTGTATGTCTCATAACAATAAAAATGCTTTCAAATGAGCTGATGTAGGTAACAGCTCTTAGCTTGCCAAAAAAGTTAGGAATCCTTAACCTGTAAATAGCTTGTCAATAAAGCTAGGGATCCTTAACCTTGTCAAACCCTGTGTAAAAAAAAAAAAAAAAAAAAAAAAAAAGACAGATAGACATAGAGAGAGACTGCTGATCCATCTCTGCTTCCCCCTCCTTGGCTCACCCTTTCATTGACTGTCCTTGATTTAAGGTGAAGTGGCACTTCCTACCTTATGTGAATATCTCTTAAGAGTGCGCTTATATTTATTCGGGAACATTGCTTTCTTGTTTGTTATTAGTAATCAACAGATATTCAGGATGTATATGAATACTGTTTATACCTTTGATATTTGTATCTCGTCAAGCACAGCCTAGTCATGTTTGCATTATATTGAACTTTGAGCAATTCCTCTTGATCTATTCTCTAAGTTAGTGATGAAGGCTAAGCCCTCACTACCTTTTAAATAAAAAATAACACCATCTTGGAGAGGCATGTCTGAGAGTGCACCTTATACAGGCTTACCATGACCTAAGCTATATATACTTGTAACAATGTCATCTAAGATAACAGTGGTGACTATCACAATCCTAAGACATGGTAAGAGTTCATAATATTTTCTTTTATGATGGAATGGGCAACATGCTTCACTCATGCCAGTATCAAACTTTGACTGCCCATAGAGTCACTCTCTCCTTATACATACACCAACATACACACCAGTGTGAAGTTTCATTCAAATGATTATCACATGTATTATTTTCACATGATATTTGTGGAATATTTACACACCTAAAATTGAAACTTCTTCAGACTATGAATGCATAATTATACTAACTAGAAAATAAAGCCGAGACAATACCAATCCAAATTTGATGGACAGACAGAAGAGAGCAAACCAGTCTAATTTTCAACATACAGTGTACTTTTTTATACTGTACATTATTTTCAATATTAAAAGATATATTGCAATTAAGAAGAATAATTTGATAAAATGACAGTGATGGAGTGAATGATGGTGAAAGTTTTTCTTTTTCGGGCCACCCTGCCTTGGTGGGAATCGGCCAGTGTGATAATAAAAAAAAAAATTTGATAAAAAGTGACAGTAGGCACTACCAGCAGTGACATGTCACCAGATTTTATTAAACACACTTACAATAAACATCAACAGAAATGGGTTAAAAATAAATAACACTGGTTCAAGTTCAATAAACAGTTTTACACTTCTTTATTCAGTGTGTAAATTTGAAAACTATCCATGTGTTGATAAATGCTGGGACATACTGCACTGCACTATAATTTATAAATCTAAATTGCACTGTGTACATGAATAAATTAATTATATAACCTCAAAGCTCTTTAAGACAATGATCTTTCTCTCTCTTCCATCTTTAACATTACTTTTTCTTGTACATGCAGTCTTATCCAAAACAACCACAGGTGGAGTTGTTTTGCATTCTGTGTTGCTTGTTCATGATTCTTGCATATAATGCAGTACTGTATATTCTACTAGATCATAATCACTTCCACTTCTTTACCTTATCTTTCACTTTTTTTTTATACTGTTAATTCTAAAAATCAAAGCCCAGTTCTATCTAAATTACACCACATATCATCCCAGGATATGGCTCACAACAATTAGCTACACCCAGTAACCTATTTATAATTAGATAAACAGGGACAACAAGATTTAAACTTTCCAACTTATCTTCATCTGCATGGGACTGAACCAAAGCCTTTCCTTCATTTACAAGTCAAAGGGTTACAAAAACAGTCACGAGCTTTTGATATCAAATCGTATTAAAAATGGGTCACCTCCCCAGCTGCAGGATTTAGTTTGGTTGAGGAAGAGACTGGTTCAAATTCTGCATTGTTCATAAGGTCAGGCTGTGGAAAAAATGAAAAAAGTATAAATAGTTTTATGTGACGATATGATTCATTCAATAAATACTTTAAAGTACATGGCATAAAGCAAAAAGAACCTGCATAGTTTTAATTTACCTGTAAGGGTCTTTGACTAACAATGGCTTCCACAGTTTTTTTCAATTCACTTTCATCTTACAAATAGAGATGCTCTCACTTCACTCTGGCTTCACTCATACCATCCCTACCATTCACTCAGTATCCTTCTCATTTGATCATACCATCCTTCTTATTCACTCACTCCATCCTTCCCATTCAATGAACCCATCTTCTCACTCCAATTAGTTCATCCTCTCACCCTACCTCACCCTCTCACTCCACTTACTACAGCCTCTCCTCACTTAGCGTCGTACTCGTTTACCAATGCCTCGGACTTATGACAGGCTCTCTGACCAGTATACATACCTAAATAATGTATATTAGAGCAGATTTCCTCTATTCTGTTGATTACAACATACAGTACATTACTGTATAAGCATTTAAGAATATATTAGAAATGTTATAAATGGTGCAAAGGTGACATTAAAACAATATCAAAGATGGTTGATACAAATCCACTACCATTATAGTATGCTCCTCACTCAGCAGCAAATTCGTTTACCAATGTGATCTTAGGAATGAAACTCCGGTGTTAAGTGAGGAGAGGCTGCATATCGTTTCACTCTACTCATATTTTCTTCCTTACCTTCTCCAAACCACATACACCAATTTGTTCTTTTCAACTACACGTGACCTTGGCTTTATGGAGTAGATATATCTGATTTTTAGATTATGCCATTGAAGTGGCTAGTTTACTGTGCACTCCATATCCATCCTGTGGACGGTAGCACAAGAGCATATGGATACACAAAACAGGTGTACATTTGGATTTATATCTACAGTTCACTTATCTGTTGCAAGCAAATTTAGGAAATTTGCTTAGTATATCTGGTATCTTATTTTCATTAATAAGATGTCTTGACATGTTACATAGGTTATTATACTGCCTATCCCTATATTCCTCAATAAGTGGACATTTAAACACACAGTGTTCAAGAGTAACCATATGCCTGACCACATAATTTGTATTGGGTCTGATCATCTCTCTCTCCCAAACTGCCAGAAGTACTTGTAACCAAGCCTAAGCCATGACAACTCGACTAAGCTCAATACACTTCAAAAATATTATTGCTAAAATGAGTAAAATGTATATCACATACAATACTGCTGATAAAAATGGGAAAATGAGAAATAGGAATCAGCATAAAAGATACTAAAGAACATGCATACTCCTCTCACTCTTTTATACCCTGCCTATAAATAATACAAGCGAGTCCTGCTCATACAGGTTCTGGGTTACTGCTGTAAAACGAAAATTGCCGTTTTTCACTTTCAAATGCATATAACAGCCTGATAACATGTTTACACTATCATAAATTAAGTGAGCAATAAAGCTAGGCCTAAAATAATGCATATACAGTACACACATTACTTTAAAATAAACCTTAAAGTAAACTCTTGTTTTCTACACAAACTCGTTTGCAAGTTAAAAAAGGGCTTGTATTTGTAAGTTAGGGATCCTTTCTATTGTCTATCCATATATTTCAATCCAACAAAAGATAAACAAACTACTTTTCTTACCTTTTCTTCACAACTCTCTGCTGTTGCACTAGTTCTCTGGGGACATACCCAAGGGGCATACAAGTCAGGTTCTAACATATCATTTCCTCCTGTGGCTCGACTGACTACCAAACCCACTAGGAGAGTTACAAGGAATCCAATTGTTGCTACCCACATGTAGGATATAGCATACAGCTCGTGCAGGAATGGTGTACTGCAAAAATAAGGATATAAATTTCAACAATATAGGTACTGTAATCGAATAGTCACACACAGCAGCTGTCATGAATGATTAAACTCTATTCTAATGTTATGCTACTTTCTTTATATCGATCTAAAAGAATAAAACCTATAAAATAAATTTTCACATCATAATGAAATTAGCATGGTAACTGTGAACCAGAAACAATGAGGCTGAACTGACAATTATGACCTGATAATTCTCAAAGGTGCTGGATGCCTCACAATGAGATGACCATGTGTGACTACACTGCAGTTGTGAGAGTGCTACTTCCACAGCCATCATAAGTTGGCATTTAGCAAATGAATAAACAAAGTAAAAATGCAATAAATTCCTCTGTTTATCCAGAAATTTGCAAACAGAGCTAACAAAATCAATTGGTCAATTATGAAAGAGGTCATACTCTGATGTACCAGGTTTCTGAATAGGGAAGACTACTGCAGTTTTCCACTATGTAAAATACCATCTGACTACATCTGACTGAAGAGCAGCAATAGGAAAGCAAACGCAAAGTATACCAGCGTTGCAGCACGATTTGTACCTCTTCTGATCCAGTCACCATAGACAGACATCTGAGTGATTTCTATGTACCAGACAAGTTCAAGAAGTTTTGAAAGGTATATTATCAGGCTCATCATTAAGAAATGTCCAGTAAAATCTGAACCTGAAGAGTCGGAAAACAGATGAAGTCCCTGGAAAACCTAAGGAAAAATGACCCCTTGAAGCTTCTGCCACATCGCTGGAGTTTTCTTAATTCCATAAAAACAACATCTAGAATAAGAGCCAAGTCATATAACTGCTGGTACATGAATTTATGCACCTAATTCATAATGCACCCCACAGAGGATTGCAAGTGACTGACATTCTTTAACCCTTTGACTTTTTTAGTCGTATATACACCTACCATCCGACTTACGACCAAGTTTGGTACCGACCAACCGGTCGCAAGTCAAAATGGATGCAAGTCGAACCTTTGAAAATTGCCGACATACTGGGTAGGGCATAATGTCAAACTTTTCCTATATAAACTACCTACATAGTACTGTAATGTAATGTACAATCATTATTTCATTTTTTTTTACCATAATTTACTTCTATTGTTATATTTTAATTATTTATTTACTGTATATAATGTATACATGGTAGTGAACTGTATTGTAAATTTTACATCGCATACAGTATCATATGTTACTGTTATCTTCATGTATTGTTGACACAGTGGTATGGGAGAATACCACTGGTAGTGTCATCCTGCCAGAATGTAGTATAACCTATACCCTAAGTAAAGAGAAACAACTCTGTAACACGTGTAATACGTAGCTGGCTGCCTGGCCGGATGGGTGATTGGCTGACTGAATGTGGCTCTCTCTCTCTCTCTCTCTTCACAGGTACACGTAAGTAAAGTTATCATACATAGTATAAATTACCTAGGATAACCCAAATAATCCAGACAAAGTGCTATACAGTGGATCTGTGCTCCAGTGCCCTAAATTAATAATAATAATAATAATAATTATTATTACAATACTACATATGTACTAATATTAATAATAATATTATTATTAAACTATAATATAATAATCGTGTCCACTCATTACTTACCTTAAAATATCTGTAGTCTTAATGTAGAGTGAGAGGCGAGTAAACAAGATTAAATGAATAAACGAATGAGTGTGTAGAAGGCTGGCGAGTTATGTAAACAAACGTTGTTGTTGTTACCAGCCCAGACACGAATGATTCCTGTTCACTCTGTCAAGTCGACCAGAAAAACATCTCATATTTGTTAATTTATATGTTTATATGTTATGTAGCATGTTTATTATATAATTTTGAAAAAGAAATCATAGATGGATTAAGCAAAATGTCTATATCAACATTTTATACACATTTAATGTGCCTCAGTGATTATTATTGTTATCATCATTATTAATATGGCATCTTCAAGACCAATTACACTCTTAATGAGCGGCTCTGAGACAGACAAGCAGACAGAAAGATAGACACAGGTAGACAGACAGACACACAGGTAGACAGAGACACACAGGTAGACAGACACACAGACAAACACACAGGTAGACAGAAAGACACACAGGTAGACATAAAGACACACAAGTAGACAGATACACAGGTAGACAGAAAGACACACACACAGGTAGACAGACACAGGTAGACAGAAAGACAGACACACAGGTAGACAGATAAACAGACACAGAGATACACAGATATATAGGCAGACAGATACAAACAGGTTTATGTGCAACAGTGAAAACAAATAGAGAGTTCGAGAGTAAGAGCCTTTCTTGCCACAGACTTCATTTTAGGGGCCATGGTGAAATTTACTGTCCAGCTAATACAGTATGATGCTGCTGATAGGACAGGGTTACTCAAACTGATGCTGCCTGCATGACGCATTGGCGCCGCGAGTATTGTCAAATATTGTACAGTGGTGTGCATCAGCCGGCCCAGCCCAGCTGCCAGATGCACGGTCGTAAGTCGAGTGGACGTATGTCGAGCAGGTCGTAAGTCGGATGGTAGGTGTATACGTCTTACGAGCCACCGTTTTTCACGTATATATACTCAAATTCTAGCGGCTTCAAATCAAGCAGGAGAAAGCTGGTAGGCCCACATGTGAGAGAATGGGTCTGTGTGGTCAGTGTGCACCATGTAAAAAATCCTGACAGCACGCAGTGCATAATGAGAAAAAAAAAACTCTGACCGTTTTTTTTTAATTAAAATGCCAAATTTGTGGTCTATTTTTGTATAGTATTTATGGTTGTATTCTCCTTTTATTGGTCTCATTTGATAGAATGGAAAACATGTTATAGAAATAGAGGTGATTTTGATTGATTTTACTATGAAAAGAACCTTGAAATGGAGCTCAAAGTACGGGAAATGTTTGATTTTTGCCGATGTTCAAAAGTAAACAAATGATGTCATTTTCCAATAAATGTCCAAGTAGCCATTCTAATATGCAGTCATGAATGGGTTGACATTATTTATACAATTATTACAATATTGCAGTAGTCTGCATAACAGTAAATCTTCTATTTTTTGTTTGAATAAAAATTCAAAATAGAAAGCAAGAGTAATATCAGAATGGCCTGGAAACGTGACTGATGAACAAAGAAAATGTTATTTTAGAGCCAGGAATGTCTACATTGTTCATTCTCGATCCTATTTTGAAATAGTCATATTTTTTAATTTTCATGAAATTCGCCAAATTGCAAATTTCTGACCACGTTATTGGGTAGTTGAAATCAGTAAATGGGCAGTTTCTTGTACTCAATTGATAGAAAAAATGGAGTTCTAAAGAAATAGCTATTAGTTTGGTCGACTGGAACAATGGAATTAGCCGAAAATAGGGCTCAAATTGGGCGAAATCGCTGATTCATAAATATTGCCAAGGTCGCTAACTTTGCGAGAGCGTAATTCTGTCAGTTTTCAATCAAATTTCATTCATTTGGTGTCATTACAATTTGGAAAAGATTCTCTTATAATTTCATAAGAAAAAATAATTTTTTTTTTTTTTTAAATTTTTCGACACCAGGAGACACCTCAGGATTTGGGGTTGCTACAGTCAAGGGGTTAATTTCCATTAGTATTTTATGGGTTAACCCCTTGACTGTCACAACCCCCAATCCTGAAGTGTCTCCTGGTGTCGCAAAAAAAAAAATCTTATGAAATGATAGAGAATCTTTTCCCGATTGTAATGACACCAAAAACACAAAATTTGATGGAAAACTGACGGAATTATGCTCTCTCACAAAGTTAGCGACCTTGGCGATATTTACAAATCGGCGATTTCGCCCACTTTGACCCCTATTTTCGGCTAATTACATTGTTCCAGTCAACCAAACTCATAGCTATTTCTTTAGAACTCCATTTTATCTATCGTTTGAGTACAAGAAACTGCCCATTTACTGATTTCAACTACCCAATAACTTTGTCAGAAATGTGCAATTTGGCCAATTTCATGAAAATTAAAAAAATGACAATTTCAAAATACGGTCCAGAATGAACAATGCAGACATTCCTGGCTCTAAAATAACATTTTCTTTGTTCATCAGTCATGTCTCCAAGCCCCTCTGATATTACTCTTGCTTTCTATTTTGAATTTTTATTCAAACAAAAAATAGAAGATTTACTGTTATGCAAATTACTGCAATACTGTAATAATTGTATAAATAACATCAACCCATTCATGACTGCATATTAGAATGGCTAGTTTGACATTTATTGGATAATGACATCATTTGTTTACTTTTGAACATCGGCAAAAATCAAACATTTCCTCTATTTTGAGCTCCATTTCCAGGTTCTTTTTATAGTAAAATCAATCAAAATCACCTCTATTTCTATAGTATGTTTTCCATTCTATCAATTGAGACCAAGAAAACGAGAATACAACCATAAATACTATACGAAAGTAGACCACAAAGTCGGCATTTTAATTAAAAAAACGGTCAGAGTTTTTTTTTTCTCATTATGCACTGCATGCTCCAAGATTTTTTTTATATGGTGCACACTGACCACACAGACCCATTCTCTCAAATGTGGGCCTACCAGCTTTCTCCTGCTTGATTTGAAGCCGCTAGAATTTATGAGTATATATACGTCAAACACTGTACCTCGTAAGACGTATATATACGACCTCGACAGTCAAAGGGTTAACTGTGAAGAACTAAGTATCTTAAAGACAAGTTATTACTGTATAGGATAAACCTGTTATTAAATATTTATGCTCTCCCTGATTATCCCAGCACTCTGATTCCACTGAATGATAGGCACTGAAAAAACAGTGAAAATCTCTATTCATGGTACAGGTCGGCCATCACTAATCTGGCAATCAGTAATCTGGCACTAATTTGGGCTAGCAGAATTTCAAATTTCCGGGGTCACCACACCAACCTGCCACTACTGTTTGGTGGTGCTAATTGCTACACAAGTCATTCCTATTTCTTTTACTCCATTTATTGTTATAACCCGCTCACTTTAAGCCCTAGCCATGGTTCCAATGAATAAAAGAAATGCTTCTCATTGTGTAAAGCACATACATTGAACACTGTCCATAAAATATAAGGTGGCTTTGAAGCCACTGTTGGTCACCATAAGCTCAGCTCAGCTCAGATAAGCTGTGACCGGTAAATTTGGGCCTACATATGAGATAACAGATCTGTGTGGTATGTGTGCAGTATATAAAAAAAAAATTGTGTAGCACACAGTGCATAATGAGGAAAAACTCCGACAGTGTTTTTGGTGTAAAAAAGCAACTTTGCGGAGTATTTTCATACGGCTTTAATGGTTGTATTCTCCTTTTTTTTGGTGTCAGTTGATAGAATGGAAGATATATTACAGAAATAAATATGATTTTGATTGGTTTCACTTTGGAAAGTACAGTGGACCCCCGCTTAACGATCACCTCCAAATGCGACCAATTATGTAAGTGTATTTATGTAAGTGCGTTTGTACGTGTATGTTTGGGGGTCTGAAATGGACTAATCTACTTCACAATATTCCTTATGGGAAAAAATTCGGTCAGTACTGGCACTTGAACATACTACTGGAATGAAAAAAGTTCGTTAACCGGGGGTCCACTGTATCTTGAAATTGAGCTCAAAGTAGTGGAAATGCTCAATTTTTTCCGATGTTCAAGAGTAAACAAATGTAACTGTCCAATACAAGTCCTACTGGCTGGTCTAAAATATAGTCATGAATGGGTTGACATTATTTATACAATTATTACAATAATGCAGTAGTGTGCATAACAGTAAATCTTCTATTGTTTTGTGTGAATAAAAATTCAAAGTGGAAAGTAAGAATAATATAAGAAGGCCCTGGAGACATGACTAATGAACAGAGAAAATGTTATTTTAGTGCCAGGAATGTCTGCATTATTCTGGACCGTTTTGAAAATGGCATCTCATGAAATTTTTGTGAAATTGGCCAAATTGCTGATTTCTGACCACTTTATTAGGTAATTCAAATAGGTAAATGGGTGGTTTCTTGTCCTCTATTGACAGAATAGAAGGAATATTAGCGAAATACTATGAGTTTGGTGGACTGGAACAATGTACTGGGCCGAAAATAGGGTGTATAAAGTAGGTGAAATCACCAATCAATTCATACGTATTACTGTTGGGTTAAGTGTATACACTAACCTAACCACTCCGTAATCCGGCAAAATCACTACTCTGGCATCCTACAAGTCCCGATGATGCCGGATTAGTGATGGCCAACCCATAGAAGAATTCTCTGTGGCTCACCTAAGTCATTAAGGGATGATCATCCAGGGGTTGTTGGTAAGAATGACATCCTCTTTGTATTTTTAGCCTATTAAGGTGTTTATTTAGTAACAAATTAAGCATCATGGCAAGACAATATCCTTTAACAAAAGGGAACCTATGTGCTGTGTACAGTAGTAATCCAGGCAGCACCGACAGTATTATCAGTGGCGAAATGTGCAACATATGGTTGGAAGTCATTGATAAATAAAATGTGTAAAATGAGAAAAAAAACATATCTGGGATCTACTGGGATATGTAATAAATTTATCATTATGGTGAGACAGTCCTAAGGGCAATGTGTGGTGTAAATATTGTGCAGAAAACTCTGAGTGTGGAAATTAGGAGAAGGTGTGGAGTTAATAAAAGTATTAGTCAGAGGGCTGAAGAGGGGTTGTTGAGGTGGTTTGGTCATTTAGAGAGAATGGATCAAAGTAGAATGACATGGAGAGCGAATAAATCTGTAGGGGAAGGAAGGCGGGGTAGGGGTCGTCCTCGAAAAGGTTGGAAGGAATTTGTAAGGGAGGTTTTGTGGGCGAGGGGCTTGGACTTCCAGCAAGCATGCGTGAGTGTTTAGATAGGAGTGAATGGAGACAAATGGTATTTGGGACCTGACAATCTGTTGGAGTGTGAGCAGGGTAATATTTAGTGAAGGGATTCAGGGAAACCGGTAATTTTATATAACCAGACTTGAGTCCTGAAAATGGGAAGTACAATGCCTGCACTTTAAAAGAGGGGTTTGGGATATTATCAGTTTTTAGAGATATATTGTGTATTTTTATACGTATATACTTCTAAGCTGTTGTATTCTGGGCACCTCTGCAAAAACAGTGATTATGTGTGAGTGAGGTGAAAGTGATTAATGATGATGAAAGTATTTTCTTTTTGGGGATTTTCTTTCTCTTTGGGTCACCCTGCCTAGGTGGGAGACTGCTGACTTGTTGAAAAAAAAAATATATATATATATATATACAGTGGACCCCCGCTTAACGATCACCTCCAAAAGCGACCAATTATGTAAGTGTATTTATGTAAGTGTGTTTGTACGTGTATGTTTGGGGGTCTGAAATGGACTAATCTGCTTCACAATATTCCTTATGGGAAAAAATTCGGTCAGTACTGGCACCTGAACATACTACTGGAATGAAAAAAGTTCGTTAACCGGGGGTCCACTGTATATATATATATATACAGTGGTCCCTCAATTATCGTCCTTAATCCGTTCCTGGAAGTGGGACTATTATCGAAATGGACGACTTTCTAATCAATTTTCCCCATAAGAAATAATGTAAATGCAATTAATCTGTTCCTGACACCCAAGAAGTATTAACCCTTTGACTGTTTCAGGCCCCTCTCTGAAACTGTCATTCTATGTCGCCAAATATCAAAAAAAAAAAAATTATTTTTTCTTATGAAAATGTTAAGATTATTTTTCTGAGTGTTTTAGTCCAAAAAAAAAATTTTTGCCATCGGTACTTACCGAGATATAGAGCTGTGAAGTTTGCAGAAAATGAGCCGCGTATGGCAACAGCGGCGACTGCCGCTCAACCGGTAAACTTTAGTTTACTTGTAATTGAAGGTTTTTTGTTTTTTTCACTATTTTATTTTTTCACATAACTTATGTGGCCTATGAGACCAAAGTAAGGTGCAATGTATATATATACACTTGTTGTATACAACACAATAAGCACACAAACATAATTATCAATATATTGTTTACAAAACTTGTTTACAAAAACAAACAATCATCTTCCTCCTCCTCCTTCTCATCCTCCTTCTCCTCATCCTCCTTCTCCTCCTCCTCCTTCTCCTTCTCCTCCTCCTCCTTCTCCTCCTCCTCCTTATCCTCCTCCTTCTCCTCCTCCTCCTTCTCCTCCTCCTTCTCCTTCTTCTCCTCCTCCTTCTCCTCCTCCTCCTCCTCCTCCTCCTCCTCCTTCTCCTTCTCCTTCTCCTTTCTCCTCCTCCTCCTCCTCCTCCTCCTCCTCCTTCTCCTCCTCCTTGTCTTGTGTGCGAGTGTGTGGCTTATAATTGTTTTGAGTCAGAAGTCGGCAGCTGTCAAAGTGACATATTGTCTCATTAGTCACTTCCCCTACCTCCTGTCAAAACAATGGGGTCAGATGCTGCTTCCCCTCCTCCATTTTATCTAATTATCTTTCTCCCTCATTCTATATCTTTCAATCTGTCTCTCTTTCTATCTGTCTGCCTATCTCTGTCTCACAGGTACACATAAATACAAGTATACATAGTGTAAATTACCTAGGATAACCCAAGAAATCCAGACAAAGTGCTATACTCTGCTTGAAGATGTGAGTAAACGTGATGACACAGTCTTGTGGCTCTCTCTGAGACAGAGAGCTAGATGGACAGACAGGGAGCTTGACAGACAGACAAATAGACAGACAGAAATGTTTGTGTACCAGCAAAAACAAAGGGAGGGCGATGGTCATGTAATATTACCCTCCTTTACCTCATCAAAGTCAGCTCTTATCAGATGTTATCTCCCCTTATCTTGTCACTGTCATGGTGGGACTTTTTTTTTTCTTGCTTCAAGGGAACAATATTATTACATCTTCTTCTTCCTCTCCTCCTCTTTCTCCTCCTCCTCTCCTTCCCTCCTCCTCCTCCTCCTCCTCCTCCTCTTCCTCCCCTCCTCCTCCTCCATTGCTTTTGGTCTCAAACTCCTCCAAATCATGAAATTGATCTTCACTGACACTTCCATCTGTGTTAGAGCATCACTTGGGAAGAGAAGAGTCCCAGATTTGCTGGGGAATCACATATTTCTTACCGCTAGACATGCTGAAAAAGGACAACTGAAATGGCATTCCCACAATGCACCACTGGCTCCCCGATTTTTTTTATATGGTGCACACTGACCATGGAGACCCATTCTCTCACATGTGGGCCTACCAGCTTTCTCCTGCTTGATTTGAAGCTGCTAGAATTTATGCGTATAAATACGTCAGAAACATTGGCTCGTAAGACGTATTTATACGTCGGAAACAGTCAAAGGGTTAAAACAAAAAAAATTTTTACATGAAATATAGATGCAGTACATAAACAATACAATGGCACATGATGAATTAAACATTAACAGAATAACACTTACCTTTATTGGCGATTCTTCTTTGTGTATGGAAGACTGGAGAAGGAGACAGATTGAATTATTTACTGTTTGGAAGGGGAATCCCCTTCCATCAACACCTCGGGTACCAATTGCTTTTCTGGGGTTACTTCTCTTCTCTGCTTCTTAATGCCACTAGGACCACCTTGAGAGTCACTGGAGTCCTGTCTCGCAAAAAAACTGTCCAGAGAGCTCTGTTTCTGGCATTCCTTTAACCCTTAAACGGTCCAAACGTATATATACGTTCACTCGCGTAGCGCCCCAAATTTTTTGAGAGAGAAAAAATTATCTGGTACCCAGGCGTCCCCAATTATTTTAATATGGCGCACAGTGAGTGCGCACACCCATTCTCTCATGTCTAGGTGACTCAGGCTTATCGTGGCAATGTTGAATGAATGACAAAGAAAACGCATATATACTACGTTTGGGGCGCTACGCATGTGAACGTATATATATATTTGGACTGTTTAAGGGTTAAAACTTCCCTAAAATGGGCCAAGACTCTGTCACTGTACAAGTTGCCAATATGGCTTGCAACATCCTTCTCTGGGTGATGTTTCTCCATAAATCTTTCCATCCAACCCCACATTTAAAAAATCTCCTTAATTTCTGAAGAAGGCACCTTCTTCCATCTCTCTTCCTCCTCCTCTGCAGCAAGATTCTGAGCTGCGATCAGTTGCTCTTCCTGCTGAAGCTCTTGCAGCTCTTCAGTGGTTAGCTCTTCATTGTGGTCCTCCACCAACTCTTCCACATCCTCCAAACTCACATCCAACCCCATGGAACTCCCCAGTGCAACAATAGAGTTCACAACTGACATAGGCTCATCATGGGCTGCCTCAAACCCTTCAAAATCCCTCTTGTGGACACAATCTGGCCACAATTTTCTCCAAGCAGAGTTCAAAGTCCTGGTAGTCACTCCCTCCCAAGCCTTACCTATAAGGCTTACGCAATGGAGAATACTGAAGTGTTCTTTCCAAAAATCTCGTAGGGTCAAGTGAGTGTCTGAGGTCACATTCAAGCACCTTTCAAACATTGCTTTGGTGTAGAGTTTTTTAAAGTTTGAAATGACTTGCTGGTCCATGGGCTGGAGGAGAGGAGTGGTATTCGGGGGCAAGAACTTTACTGTGATGAACCCAAACTCCTTCAGAATTAGGTCATCCAAGTTTGGAGGATGAGCAGGTGCATTGTCCATTACTAGGAGGCACTTTGAGATCCAATTTCTTTTCCAGGAGGTAATTCTTCACACTAGGGCCAAACACTTCATTGAACCACTCAACGAAAATGTCCCTCGTGACCCATGCCTTACTATTAGATCTCCAAAACACACACAATTTACTCTTCATAACATTGTTTTTCTTGAACACTCTGGGATTTTCAGAATGGTACATGAGTAACGGCTTCACTCTGAAATCCCCACTAACATTAGCACAGAACATTAGCGTCAGCCTGTCTTTCATAGGCTTGTGTCCTGGCAGTGCCTTTTCTTCCTGAGTAATGTAGGTCCTCTTTGGCATTTTCTTCCAAAAGAGGCCTGTTTCATCACAATTGAACACTTGTTCAGGTTTCAGTCCTTCACTGTTTATGTACTCCTTGAATTCATGCACATATTTTTCAGCCGCTTTGTTGTCAGAACTGGCAGCCTCACCATGCCTTACCACACTGTGTATGCCAGTATGCTTCTTAAATCTCTCAAACCAGCCTTTGCTGGCCTTAAATTCACTCACATCACCACTAGTTGCAGGCAATTTCTTTACCAAATCGTCATGCAACTGCCTAGCCTTTTCACAAATAAGCAAAGTCATAAGACTATCTCCTGCTAATTGTTTCTCGTTTATCCACACCAATAATAACTTCTCAACATCTTCGAGTACTGGTGATCTCATTTTTGTCAGCATATTTACCCCCTTTGCAACAACAGCATCCTTGATTTTCTTTTTCTTGGCTATGATGGAAGATGTGGTTGTACGGGATTTGTTATACATCCTGGCCAGTTCGCCCACACGCACGCCACTATCATATTGTTCAATGATGTTTTTCTTAAATTCAATCGTATTTCTCACCTTCTTTACCAAAGGCTTGGCACTAGGAGCTTTCTTTGGAGCCATGGTAGCTTATTTAGCACTTGTAAGCATTAAAATCAATGGAATATTATGAAATATTTCACTGGAGCAAGTGAGGGGACCGTCGCTCACTGGTAAACAATGGCACACTGGCTGGGAAGGGAGGCCGAGACGGCTCAGAGCGTGAGTACGAGTCCCGGACGAAGGACTATTAGCGAGTTAGCGGACCATTTGTGAGCCAATGTTTAGACGAAATAACAGGACTATGTATTTCCGAAATGGACGACTTTCAGGCCGGATGATTATTGAGGGACCACTGTATATATCTTTCTTTCAACACACCGGCCATATCCCACTGAGGCGGGGTGGCCCAAAAGGAAAAACGAAAGTTTCTCCTTTTACATTTAGTAATACAGTGGTCCCTCATTTTTCGTAATTAATCCGTTCCTGGAGGAGCTACTGTAAACGAAATTTACGATTTGCGAATCAATTTTCCCCATAAGAAATAATGTAAATACAATTAATCTGTTCCTGACACCCAGAAGTATTAAAACAAAAATTTTTTTACATGAAATATACATATAGTGCATAAACAATACAATGGGAAATGATGAATGAAACATTAACAGCATAACACTTACCTTTATTGGAGATTCTTCTTAGTGTATGGGAGACTGGAGGAGGAGAGAGATTGGACTGTTTACAGTTTGGAAGGGGAATCCCCTTCCAGCAACACCTCAGGTACCAATTGCTTCTCTGGGGTTGCTTCTCTTCTCTGTTTCTTAATGCCACTAGGACCACCTTGAGAGTCACTCTAGTCCTGTCTCACAAAGTAACTGTGGAGAGAGCTCTGTTTCTGGCGTCTCTTTAACACTTCCCTAAAATGGCCCAAGACTTTGTCACTGTACATATTTCTCACCTTCTTTACCACAGGCTTGGCACTAAGAGCTTTCTTTGGAGCCATGGTAGCTTATTTAGTAATTGCAAGCACTAAAATGAGTGGAATATTATGAAATATTTCGTAGGAGGACTTGAGGGGACCTTCACTCACTGGTAAACAATGCCAGACTGGCTGGGTAGGGAGGCCGCCCCGGCTCACACCGTGCGTACGCGTCCCGGACGAACTACTATTAGCGAGTCAACCTATGAAAAGCGAGTCCATGTTTATACGAAAATACCCCTATGATTGGCGAAATTTACGATTGCCGAGAACTACGAAAAGCGAGGGACCACTGTATATACAGGAGAAAGGGTTACTAGCCCCTTGCTCCCGGCATTTTAGTTGCCTCTTACAACACGCATGGCTTAAGGAGGAAGAATTCTGTTCCACTTCCCCATGGAGGTAAGAGGAAATAAACAAAAACAAGAACTAGAAAGAAAATAGAAGAAAACCCAGAGGGGTGTGTATATATATGCTTGTACAGTAAGGCCCCGCTTTACGGCGTTTTGCCTTTCAGCGTTCCGCTAATATGGCGATGTCAAATTATGACCAAAATTTGCTATACGGCAAGCGGTCTTTCAAATACGGCACCCCCCACCCGGTTTGTCTACATTTTCCGTGACCTCATCTATTATGTCAGGAAACTTTCCAAAATTTCAAGTGTTTTAAAGTTACTGCATATTTTATATGTACAGTGGACCCTCAACCAGCGATGGCATCGATTAACGATAAATCTGACTAGCGATACATTTTAACGCAAAAATTTTGCCTCGACTAGCGCTTAAAAACCCAACCAGCGCTATTCGTTCCGTACAAGACGCGTCCACTTTGGCATGAGCGCGCCTCACTTGTCCCGTGGGTGCCAGTGTGTACAAGCCAGCCACCGCGGCCACTTCCAAACATACATCTAGAACATTTCATATCACAGCCTTTGTAGTGATTGCACCTGCAAATTAAGTCACCATGGGCCCCAAGAAAGCTTCTAGTGCCAACCCTACAGCAAAAAGGGTGAGAATTACTATGGAGATGAAGAAAGAGATCATTGCTAAGTATGAAAGTGGAGTGCGTGTCTCTGAGCTGGTCAGGTTGTATAATAAACCCCAATCAACCATCGCTACTATTGTGGGCAAGAAAATGGCAATCAAGGAAGCTGTTCTTGCCGAAGGTGCAACTATGTTTTCGAAACTGAGATCGCAAGCAGTAGAAGATGTTGAGAGACTCTTATTGGTGTGGATAAACGAGAAACAGATAGCAGGAGATAGCATCTCTCAAGCGATCATATGTGAAAAGGCTAGGAAGCTGCATGACGATTTAATTAAAAAAATGCCAGCAACTAGTGATGTGAGTGAATTTAAGGCCAGCAAAGGTTGGTTTGAGAGATTTAAGAAGCGTAGTGGCATTCATAGTGTGATAAGGCATGGTGAGGCTGCCAGTTTGGACCACAAAGCGGCTGAAAAGTATGTGCAGAAATTCAAGGAGTACATAGACAGTGAAGGACTGAAACCTGAACAAGTGTTTAATTGTGATGAAACAGGCCTGTTTTGGAAGAAAATGCCAAGCAGGACGTACATTACTCAGGAGGAAAAGGCACTCCCAGGACATAAGCCTATGAAAGACAGGCTTACTCTGTTGATGTGTGCCAATGCTAGTGGTGATTGCAAAGTGAAGCCTTTATTGGTGTATCACTCTGAAACTCCCAGAGTGTTCAGGAAAAACAATGTCGTCAAGGCTAATTTGTGTGTGCTGTGGAGGGCAAACAGTAAGGCATGGGTCACTAGGGACTTTTTCTATGACAGGTTACACCATGCATTTGCCCCCAATGTGAAAAATTACCTAATTGAAAAGAAATTAGACCTTAAGTGCCTCCTGGTATTAGACAATGCTCCTGCTCATCCTTCAGACTTGGCAGAGCGACTTTCTAGGGACATGAGCTTCATTAAGGTGAAGTTTTTGCCTCCTAATACCACTCCTCTCCTGCAGCCCATGGACCAGCAGGTCATTTCCAACTTCAAGAAACTGTACACAAAAGCTATGTTTGAAAGGTGCTTTGTAGTGACCTTAGAAACTCAACTCACTCTAAGAGAGTTTTGGAAAG